GAGGAGAGCTCTTTCCCAGCCACGTGTTCCTGGCACCTTCTCTTCACTCCCTTTCAAACCAGGACTCAGACCATGCCCACCTCGCATGGAGCAGCATCTCCTCCCTAAAATGTCTCCTCTTGCTGGGCTGTCAGGGAGCGGGGAGGATGCTGGAGGAGGCAGTGGGGCACCCCAAACTCTTGCTCTCCCCCACACCCAGGTACCCCCTCTGGGCAACACATCAGCCTGTCCTGAGTCACAGACAGAACAGAGGTGGTAGTGATGGAGGGGAAAATCTTGGCTGCCTGGTCCCCCTGGGAGAAGGGAGGGGAGAGGACTGTGCCAGCAAGCAAGAGACTCAGCAGCCTGCACATCCCAGGGCTCCTGGCCCCCAGCTCCACGGGAAATGAGACAAAAGCCCAAAATACAACATTGTCAGCTCCCTCTTGCCCCATCCCACCTGGAGGAAGTAGATGGTGTCGGTGCTGGGGACGCTCTCCAGGCTTTGCTTGCACTGTGCCAGCTTGGCTCGCCTCTGCTCCTTCCAGCGCAGATCGGCCTCGGCCTCGCCCAGCATGGAGCGCTCCCCGTCCTCGATGAATCCCGTCACCTCCTTCTGGAAGGCTGCCAGCACCTCAGAGGCCTCTGCAAAGAGCTTCTCAACCCTTTCCCTCTCCTTTGTGGCAGCACCCTGAGTGCGGGGAGAGAGGGGTCAGGTCCCAAGGTAGGGTCCAGGAGAGCCACGCCTGTGCCCTGCCCAGCACCCAGTTCTCAGCTCAGTGGAATCCCCCTGGCACTCCATCACCCCCTTCACCCAAGAACTCAGATCGCTTCACAGTGCAGCCCTCAAGAGCCCTGGCTGGGCACTGCCACTTAAGGCTGTACCACATTTGGTGTCCCCAAGCAGGAAAGTGACGTTTTTGCACAAGGGCCAAAGGGGACAACACCCCCATGAGCCTGGGGAGAGAAGGTGCAAGAGCCAGAGGATGCCCTGGCATGGTCCTTGCCCTGTTCCTTCTTCCACGTTAAAAATTAAAGCAACCAGAGACACCAGGAGTGTTGGCAGGGATGAGGAGAAGGAATCCTCAGGGGTCTCTGCCAGGATCTCCATAGTTTCATGGTGCTCCTGTGAGCACCATCTTTACAGCCCATGCACCCCAAAATCTCACAGCCCCTTCTCCTCCACCCCCAGCCCAGCAGAGCAAAGGCATTGCAGAGTCACCTTAATGAGCTCCACCATCTTCTTGGCCTGGGTGATGGTGACTGCCAGCTCCTCCAGCTCATTCTCCACATCGCTGAGGAATTTGGCTTGCTGGGCCTGCAGACATGAAGGACAAACACTGAGCGTTACCCCTGTCCCAGTGGGAGCCACAGGGCATTCAGCCTCTCCCTGAGCTCGATCCACAGACATTCTCTGACCATGGCCTTGCTACCAGGCTTGGCGTGAAGGATGCAAGGGGAACCATGAGTTGTTTTCCTGTTTTCCTTCCCTGCAACATCCAACCTGCAAACATCCCTTCTCACTCAGCTGGAAAACGAAAGGGTCATGTCCAGCTCCACGTTCCCCACCCTGCTCCCAGCGAAAACCAAACAAAACAGGAATCTGAAAGCAAACCCATCAGGCAGTGACTGAAGCTAAGAGTGCTCTTAGTGAGTACCCAGGGCTGGGAAAAATCCACCTGAGTTTGGTGCAGAAGCTGAAGGGCAGGCCTGGAGCACTGAGAAACTCAGCACAGAGTCCCCTGGAGGTTTCTGTTTAGGAGCAGAGCTCCAGCTCCGGAAGCACCTTCCGAACACGGCGTTTCCTGAGACGCTATTGTTGGCTCAGCCGTTGCCCATCACGAGGACGGGTCCCTCGGGAGCCAGGAGGGCACTCCCCAGCCAGACAGCTCCCTGCTGATGCTCAGCCCCTGCAGTGCTTGTTCCCGAGGAGCAGCTACAGGTGCTTTCCCCGTGCATCCACCCCAGCCCGCAGCGCGAGGGTGGTGGCCGAGGGCAGGCACAGAGGTCCTGCAGGCGACATTAAGCAGCGCCTGCTGAGGTCTGACAGCTCCTCGGGGCTGGGATTACACACACTTTCTATTTTAAGGCACCTCATGACTAATAATGCCGATAAAAGGGTTTTCCTGCAATCCTAGCAGCCCATCAGGAGGGGGAGCTGGCTTGGGGTGCTGCTTGGGGCTGGGCTCCTCCTTGGAAATGGCAAACTCTCCCAAGGTCTCCAAATGCCTCATGGCCATGCGAGATGCCACCACAGGCTCCCACCTGCCTGCAGTCCCACAAAGCCCCACACTTTCAAGGCAGCAGTGCCCAGGAAAGCAGCACCACGTTGGGACTGGAGCCCCGGCTCCTGGGAAGGCTCGTGGGTGTGAGTTTAGGAGGTGACTCAGTCACATCTGGGAATGGGAGTGATGGAAAAAACCCCGCTGCCAAACGGCAGGATACAAAAGGCTGGGGGAGCGGGAGCGGCGGCCGGGCCGGCTGCCAGCGCGGGCCAAAAAACGCCTCGACGGAGCTGTGGGAACGAGACGGGCAGGGCGGGTGCCCCGGGACCGCGGGGGAGGCGCTCTGGGGTGTCCCGGGCAGCCTCGCCCCAGCCCTACACCCACGGCACCGCGAGCTCGGCTCCGCAGCGGGAGGACTCCCCACGGGATCCCCGTCCCCACCTGCCCATCCTGTCCCAGTCCCAGGGGTTCCCTGATGGCGCAGCACCCTGTCCATATGTTGGGGTGGGACCCCCCCGAGGAGTGGGAGTACAGCACCCCCGCTACATGGCATCCCAGCAGCGCTGCACCTGCACACACCCCACCTGGGGACGGGGCTCCCCGTGGGCGCAGGATGAACCCCTCCGAGGGATGCCGCGCCTCAGAGCACCCACGACACCCCCACGCCCGCGGGGGGACCTCCGCGGCCCTCCCCACCGCACGCACCTGCTTGTGCTCCCGCTCCTGCTCGAGGGGCACCACGTCGTGGGCGCGATGCTCGTGGGCGCGGCAGCGGGCGCAGACACAGCTCTGCTCGGTGCGGCAGAAGCCGTCGAGGGGCTGCAGGTGGCGGGGGCACAGCCCCTCCTCCAGCCGGCGCAGCGGGGCCACCAGCCGGTGTGCGCGGAACGCCGGGGCGCGCCGGTGCGGCTCCAGGTGCGGCCCGCAGAAGGACGCCAGGCACACCAGGCAAGAGCGCTCGGCCGCCACGCGGGACCCGGGCGGGCACACATCGCACAGCACCGCCGCTCCTTCCTCCCCCGCAGCATCCTCCTCCTCGGCTCCCGGCGCCATCGGGGACGCGGCGGCCGGGGACGTCGGGGACGAGGCGCCGGTGGCGGCCGCCAGCAGCGGCAGGAGCTCGCACAGGGCGCGGTTCTTGCAGAGGCGCAGGGCCGCGGGGACGGGCTCCTGGCACAGCGGGCAGCGGGCGGCCCCGCCCGCCCCGCCGCCGTCGGGGGGGCCTGGCTGCTGGCGGAGCGCCTGCAAGCAGCCCTGGCAGAAGTTGTGCCCGCACGGCACCGTCACCGGGTCCCGCAGCACGTCCAGGCAGATGGGGCAGCCGAGGGGACCCTCGGGCAGCCCCGGAGCCGCCAGCGCCAGGCGCAACGCCGCGGCGGAGGACGACGGGGCGCTCCCGGGCGCAGCGTCCATCCCTGAACGCCCCGACCGGCCCCGGCCCCGGTCCCAGCCCCGGCGGAGGCGGGCGGCAGCCGCGCCCCGCCCGCCCGCTCCGCCTCCCCGCGACCGCAGCCGGGGCTCCGCTCCCCGCCGTGCCGGGGACGCTGCTGGGTCCTCGGGGCACTGACCCACAGCATCCACCCGGCACCGGGTCCCGCCGCCCTGGAAAGGGTCTCGCCCCCAATGGGATCTGCTCCCATCTGGTCCCTCTCCCTGGCATGCGCTGCCTTCGGGGAGATCAGCCCCGGGGGGATGTCACTCTGCTGAGGATGTGCTGCCCCCACCCAGGGTCTGCCGCCTCCTAAAGGATCTGCCCCTCTGGGATCTGGGTCCTCCCCAGCTCCCAAGGGAAGCTGCTGACCTTTCCCGAATCTCCCATTCAGGGAAGGTGTTGCCAGCCCCTCCCAAGGACCTGCTGCTCCCCTTGAGCATTCCTTCCCCCTCCAGGACCTGCTGCTACTCTACTGCTCCCCACCCTGGGGCCACATGGAAGGTCCTGAGCCCCCCCGTGCGTAGGTGCAGGTGCTTTCCTGGCAGCCCTCGAGTCCATGGATCTACATCAGCCCTCCCCACGGCCAAAGAGGGCTGCAGTGCCCAGGTCCTGGCTCAGCCACTGTCCCCTTTTTCTCTGGGGTCTGGCAGGAACTGGCAGGCACCAGAGGGCTGGGAGACCCTGAAGTGCTTTTAGAGTGAAGATCTGCCTCAGAAGATCTCTGGACTCCTTCTGTGCAGGATACACAGAAAATTTTTGGACTTGGATAAGTTCCCAGGTGCATACTGGCCCAAGGCCTCACTCAAGGACAGGGCTGTGAGGAGCAGGGAGGTGTTGAGTGAAGCATGAAGCACAAGACAAATCCTATCTGTTCTTGAAGAAGGGGATTGATCCTTTTAAGTTTTTTGTCCCCGAAGGAAAAAATGATGTGATTCATTTCCCAGGCATTCACATCCCCAGCACTTTTGAACCCAGTGCCCAGTTTCACCCTGTTAATCCTCACCAGCACTCCCACAGGAGTGGGAGGAGATGTTGGACCTGCAGTCTCACCCTTGGAAAAACATCAATGAAAACTTTGGATTTTCTTCTGTGCCAAATCAACCTTGGAGCAGAGCAGTAGGAAACCAGGTTTCCTTATCACAGTGCTACAGTAAATAAAGCAACTTCTGGCTCTGCTGGTTGCTCCAAGGGTTGGTCGTAGGCCCCAAGGGGACACAGAGGGGCAGGAGGGGACCCTGCAAGGATGGCTGTGACAGCCGGGGTACACAGCTCCCTCCCATCCCCAGGGCTGCAGGGTCCCACATCTGCCAACAGCAGCAAGGTCAAACCAGTAAGAAAATAAAGCTTTATTGTGAAAAGCAGCATTGTACAAAGAGCTGCAGCGTAGAATCCTGAGAAGTTGCTCTGCCAGGTCTGAGAACAGCAGGGGGGAACCAAGAAGGGGCTGGGGGGAGCAGGACCTGCCTGCATGTGAGGCTGTGTGAGCACAGAGGTCCCTCAGAATTGAGCATCCCGTGGCAGTAGCACCTCCCTCTGGAGTCCCCTTCATCCAAACCTTCCCCAAGTTTGGGAAATTTGGCAGGGATGGAAGAAAGAGGAAAATCTCTTTTTTTTCACCCTCCTTATCCCCCATTCCTTTACTCTGTCTGCAGGGAGAGGCACTCACGGTGAGCTCCAGCCCTGCCGTGCGTCACCAGTGTGATATTTGCATCTGCAAATCAAACAGGTTAATTTACATGTCTGTCCCTCAGCTCTTGTTAAAACACTGCACTCCACACCTGCCTGAGCGCTGAGACCCCACTGCACCATGACAGCCTGAGCTGCAGCTCCACCTTGGCACCAGCCTGGCTGTGGCTCAGCGCGGTGGCTCTGGCTCAGTCCCTCTGGCACAGCGTCACCACTCGCCTCTCACACAGCCAAAACACGGGGTACAGGGGCTCAGTGAACACACAATGGAAGGAGTGGATGAGTTTTGTCTTCTCCCCGAGGCCATAGAAGGAGAGGAGCCCCTTGCCATAATCCAGGCTGACCCCCAGGTTCTTATAGAGCTGCTCCTGGATTTTCTGGGCGCGGCCCTTGTGCCAGGCCAGGTAACAATCCTCAAGCACCTGCAGCCCCCAGGAGCCCTCATCCAGGCCGATGTTGAACCTGTGACCCTGCTGCTGCTCCTGGGGGAGCCCCCGGTAGGTGACCCCCAGGATGACAGAGTGGCTGGAGATCTTCACCTCCCAGTAGTGGCGGCCGGGGCCGCAGCTCTGCGTGCACAGCACCTGCCAGGGCTGGAAGCGGGGGCCCTGCCCCTTCCCAGAGATGGTGCCAGGGCTGTGCTTGGCTTTGTGGGCACCTTTGGACAGCTCCAGGTACTTGTTGGCTGTCTCGGGGTCGAAGGTCAGGTTGCGGTGGTCTGGGGGGAGCAAGGGCATGGATGAAATGCTTCATCAGACATTTATGCCCTCCCAGAAGTGATGGGGTTTAAATTCTGTAGGGTTGACTCCCAAAAGAGAAGGGAATGGTTGTTTGGAAGGGAAGGGTAATGGGGAGGATGCAACACCTGCCCTAGGGGGAATGGAAAAGCCCAGAAATAGCTGTTGAGGCACTGAGACACGATTCAGCACAGTTCTTGCACAACCCAGCTCACTGGCCATTGTGACTAGGGTGGCTCTGTGGCCAGGTTGGCAGGGATGTGCTTGGTTTTAAGAGCAAAAAATACCAGTGTGGCTCGGGAGAAGGGGAGAAAACCAGGTGTTGAGTGAGCCAATATGGTATTGCAGGGAGTTACTCTCCTCTGCATGGGCTGTGATAGCTCCTGCCATGGGCATTCCCTGGCCACCAGCACCCCACCTTCCCCCTCCAACACCTGGGCCTGGCAGCTGGCTGGGCTCCTGCCTGCTGCCCATAAATAACAGGGGGTTCCTATTAATAACCCTAAGAACGTTCTGTGGGGCCTGAAGGAAGGAATTCCTACAGGTCCCATAGGCAGCCACTGCCTCCTTGGCAAGAGTGATGTGACCAACATGGCCTGAGCATTACCCAAACCTCTTCCCAGCAGGGAGGAGATGGGAAGAGGAGCACAGAGGAATTTCCTAAAAGCAGGAGAGGGCTGGCCTGGGGAGGAAAGGGGACATGAAGGACTGTAGCTAGGAATGCTGAGGCCATATCCCTGGATAGACAGCACTGACTGCAGGCAGGGCCCTGGACTGGGACTATACCATACACAGGGCAATGACTGATCCAATACCAGACAGCCTCAGTTCAACGGGAAACACTTCCTGGTGCTGCTAATCCCCCTAGTGGGTCCTTTCCCATCCCAGCCCATCCACCCTGCCCCTACACCACCCTTCTCTGCATTTAGGGAGACACACTGGAAGAAGCAGGGAAGGAGCCCCTGTCCCTGCAGCCACAACCACCCTCCTCCTGGGAAGAAGCCTGGCTTGGTGACATCTCTTCCTGCTGGGGACCCCAGTGAGGGCTGTCCCTGCAGGCCCCCTGTGCTCCTTACCCTTCAGAAGCTCAGCTCGGAGCTGGCACTTGGGGAGAGGGGCCACAGCCTTCACTGCCAGCTCCTGGGGATGCACTGGGCCTGTGGAGGATGGAAACAGGCATTTTGAGTAATGCCACCCAAAAACTTCTTTCTTCCTGGCTTCATGGGAAGAAAAGGAGGAGAAGGAGGAGGAACTGCATTGTATCCAAACCTGGGAGCAGGCATGTGCCACCATGGGTCAGCATTCCCAGCAAGGAGGGGCCACAGGGAGGCCACTCTGCTCATCCCACTTCATCTGCTGACCAGTAAATGTGTCCCATCCCAAAGCCCCGTGCCCAGCAGCTGTGTCCCCAGCAGTGACACAGGCCAGGCTCATCTTCAGGATGACTCAGAGCCCTTCAAAGTACCCCTGAGAGCAGGAGGGTTACCTTGGCCAGCAGGGCTGGGGGCTTTGGGGGCCACAGAGGCAGGCAGGTCCTCCAGCAGGAGCCTGGAGATGCTGGTGAGGATCTCAGAGATGGGCTTGATCACAGCAGCCATATCAAACTCCACGGGCACCAGTGCCTCTGGGTTCTCCAGAGGTGGGAGCAGGGGGAACTCCTGTGGACAGACACACAGACACCATGCACCAGTCTGGGGAGGATTGTGCAAACCCATTTGCACTCACCACGTCTCCCCAGTGGGCAACAGGGGCATCCCAGCATTGCCCACACAACTTTTCAGGGACCCCCCAAAAACAGCTCTTCCCCACAGCCCCAGCACATCCCTGAGCCAAAGTGAGGATGCGTTCCCAGTGGGAATGGGTTGGACATGATTCTGCTGTCATCAAAAGGGTGCAGGCCCAAGCAAACGGGAGGAGACAGTGCCAGGGTGGTACCTGCAGGAAGGTCCTGTGGTCAGGGCAGGCCAGCAGGCTCTGAGCCCTCTCCCTGTGCTGGCCAAGGACATCCAGGCGGTCCTTGCACAGGTTCCAGTTCCTGTCCACACGCTCCAGGGCTGCCCCCTGCTCCTGCTCAATCCTGGCCACTGTCTGACACTTGAGATCCTCCAGAGCTTTCTTCAGGTGGTTGAATTTGTTCTGAATCCCATCTTTGAGCTCGGTGCAGTCCTGGGCAGGAAGAGCCATGAGAACCAGTGTGCTCCCACCCTCAGGCCAGCACAGGGAGGCTGCAGTGTTACCTTGATGCTCTCTGTCTGCAACTCCAGCTCCTTCATTGCCAGCTCAATCCTCTCTGATTCCTCCTGGGTTTTTTCCAGGGATTCTTTCAAAAAGGTCTGTGAAGGGAGGAACCAACATAGAATATTATAGTTGGAAAAGACCTCCAAGATCATCAAGTTCAGCCTATGACTGAACACTCTCAACTGGCCCAGAGCACTGAGTTTTATATCCAGTCATTTCTCCCAGTCAAGTCCAGTTGCACATCCAGACCAGCCCACTGCTGCCCACCTGGCCCCCAGGACCCTCTCAGCACTGCAGGACAAGGCTTACAGGGAAGGAGGCAGCTTGGGAAGGGGACTCTGTGTCAGGATAACAAAGAAGTGATTTTTTGTGTTGCCTTTCACCCCTTTTTTAGCTGTTTCCTCTAGATCAGAGTGTTACAAACACATAGGGCACCGTTCATCTCGTGCTGCTGGATTTACTCAGCTCACTGCTGCTCCTGACAACACCTGGTTTCTCAAGGAGCAGCCAGGCACTGGTGGCACCCCCTGGCCAGCCCCATGTCCAGCTGAAGCTGGGCACTCTGGCACACAGAGGCACATCACATCCCTGCAGCAGGACACGGGGCAGTGGAGGTGGATGTCGTGCGTGCCCCAGCTGTCACAGCACGCCCCGTTCCCCCATGGCCCCGGCCGTGTCACCCACCTGCTTTTTGGCTCGCTCCTCCTCGAAGAGCACCCTCCGGTGCCGGCGGCAGTCCCGGACGGTGCAGATGCAGCAGATGCAGCGCCGCTCGTCCTGGCAGAAGAGCTCCAGCGGCCGCCCGTGCTGCCGGCACAGCTCGGCGGGCGCCGCCTCGCCCCGGCCCGCGGCCGAGCCCCGCTCCTCGCTGCCCCGTGCCAGCTCCACCACGCTGTGCAGGGTGACATTCTTCTCCAGCTCCGGGCACCGCTCGAAGGCCCGGCGGCACTCGGGGCAGGTGCAGCTCGCCTCGGTCCCGGCCTGCCTTTGCTTGTCCCAGTGGTCGCCGATGCAGCCCTTGCAGAAGTTGTGGCCGCAGGGCAAGGTCACGGGCACCCTGAACAGCTCCAAGCAGATGGAGCACACCAGCTTCTCCTCCAGCTTCTGCGACACGGGCGATGCCATCCTGCCTGCGCCGGAGATCGGGACGAGAAGCCGGGGAAATAGAAACTCGCAGAGGAGGAGGAGGAGGAGGTGACGCCGTGCCCAGAGGCGGGGCAGGGCTCCCGGCCAGACGCGCTCCTCAAGTGACACCCGCTGGCTGTCCCCTGGTCGCACGGGCTGTGCCACAGGCTGCAGGGCTGGAGCTGCTCCCCGCGGACAGGGAGGGCTGTGAAGCACGGTGGGAGACGCCGGAGAGGATGGAATGCTGCAGTGACAGCACGGCGAGACACGCAGGAGGCTGACAGGGATCGGAGCACTGTGCATTTCCATGAACGCGTTTGCCGGGCACACATCCATGTGCAGTTGGATTTTCACTCCTTTATTGCCTTTTGAGGGAACTTCCAGGCATCCTCAGCTCTGCCAGGGCTGGCTCCCTGAGCTGAGCATGGCAGTCCCCCTGGAGACCTGTGCAGAGCTCCTCACTGGGAACCAGCAGAGGCACCCACTGCTGCTGTGGCCACATGTCACCTCCCTGTGCCCTGGCAAGGCTGTGACACACGCCAGCACCATGTTCTTCCCTTGCATCTTTTAAACCACAGCTGCTGCTGTCTGCCATGTCCCCATGCACACCCGCACCACCTTTTCCCACGAACTTCCTTGCAACACCTGTGCACATCAGCACCCTGAAATACAATTAAGATGGCATGTGGGCCACCTGTCCCTGCTCGGGTGGCAGGTGGAGTCTCCTGCCCGGAGGCCAGTGCAGTGCCTGGGCACTGCAAACCTTCCCCTTGTTGTCACAGCTCAGTTTCAGTTTTCCCAGCCCAAGCCTTATCTCTGTACCAGGCCCATGTGCTGTCTTGCTCATGTTCCCAGCCTTGTTTTTTTAGCCTCCCCTCGTGAGCAGCTTCCCTTTCACCTGCACAGGTGAAGGCAAGCAGGGAGCAGGTCTCTGGTGGATCATCCAGACCAGCTTCCATAGCACAGGCAGGCTCAGAGCCACCCCCCTGAGCACAGGAGAGGACTTGGGATATGTCACAACTCCCTGCGTGTCCCAGTAAGCTTCAGCTCCAAAACATTCCTTTGGGCTGCAGCTGTCAATTCTGACCAAATATTTTAAGCCCAGAGAGCCTAACACAACCTGTGTGTCTGCCTGGAACCTGTGTCCCCATTGTGGGCACCTCCCAGTGCACTCAGTCCAGCTTAAACCAGACCTGAGAATCCTTCAGGCTGGGGGGAGTTCAGGGATAACTGGTGAAAGCCCTGAGCACAGGCAGCACTTCAGCCCAATCTCAGCTGTTTGCTGAAGTCTCCAATTTCCTGGTAGAAAGAACCTCAGAAAAAGTCACTGGGAACCAGAGCTGGGAAGAGGCAGCTGTACCAGCAGGAACATGTTGGTGCTTGGGGATCCATGTGAACAGGAGATGCACAGCGGAGCAGAGCAGGGAGCAGAGGCTCTCCAAGGCCTGGGGACAGGACCTGCAGCAGCAGTGCCAGGTCACCACCAGCAGCAGCTCAGCTTCTGCTCACCAGCCCATGCCTATGTCCTGTCCAGGGAGACAGGAGAAGGAGGCTGAGCTTCACGTGCTTGGGTAGCTGAAACCACCTCCACAAACACTGACCTTGTGCAGGTTTACCACCTGTGTAGCCACTCTATTCCCAAACTACAACATCCAAGAATGGAAGTGACTCTGGTCAGTGGAAGGGTTGCCCATCTCCCCTGCACCCTGCTGAGCTCCCCAGCTCTGGGCCAACTGGCCAGGGTAACAGCTCTTCCCAATAAAGACAGCTTTGCCAGCACTGCTCAGAGAGTGTTTAATCAGACTCATCTCTCCAGGAGGACTGCACAAATAAAATCTGAGAGTCCTGAACTGCAGCACTGTGAGAGGAGGAAATCCAGGCTGGCATGGCTCTGTTTGTTCCATAAACAGGCAAAATGGAAACTGTGATGCTTGCAGGGAAGCAAGGCACTGCTCAGCCCTGCTGCAGAACCAGGAGCAAGGTTTCAGCCTGGCCATGGATTCACTTTGAATGTTCTCATTAAGCAGCTGCCAGTCCTGTGAGCACCCAACGCCAGCTCCCAGCACAGGGAAACTGGGAGCTGAGGGGCTGAGACTTTGTAATTTCCCTCCTGAGGCACTGAGGAGAGCACAGGAAATCCAGGAGCCAGCATCCCAGGGACACAGAGGGGGCCAGCTCCTAGTAGATGCCGTAGGTGGGCTCCTGTGTGTCTCGGTACCTGTCCAGGTACCTCAGGGGCTGGTGCCGAGGGAACTTCACCTGCGGAGGGTGGTAGGGGGGCGGCCGCACGAACTCGAACACGGGCTCCCTCATGTCTGCAGAGAGTGACAGTCAGCAGGGGGGCTCACATCTGAACCCCACACCCCCCTGCACCACACAGGACCAGGGCTGCTCTAACACACCCTTGGAGTTATTTTAAAGTCCTCAGCCAAGGGTTAGGGGTTGCTCCTTCAGGCTGCTGTTAGCCTGGAGGAGGATGGCTCAGGAAGGGCTTAGCCAAGACCAAGTGAGAGCCTGCAGCCACAGGGCCATGTCCCACCCACAGACCCCCTCCAGTGTCCCCATTCCTTACTGAGCAGCTGATGGAAGGTGGAAGTGACAGAGCTGTCCCACTGACACTGGAAAAATGCCAGCCCTGCCGGGGTCATGGCATCCTTATGCTTTTTGTAGAAGTCAAATGTGCTAAAGGTTCTCATCTTCAGGCTGTAGCTGGAAACAAGACACAAGCACCAGGTGAACCTCTCCTTGCAGCAGTACCTGCTCCACATCACCCCAGGACATATGACAGAAAAGGAAAAGGAAGCCACCAAGAGGAAATCTCCCAGTGTCTCCAGCTCCAAAACCACTCTCTAACAGCCTGTTCTGTAACAACAGGACTCTGCAGTGCTGGGATTGTGGCTGCACATTTCTGGGCAGGACAAACCACTCTTCTAACAGCCTGTTCTGTAACAACAGGACTCTGCAGTGCTGGGATTGTGGCTGCAGAGTACACACAAACCCAAAGCAGCCCTGGAGAACTCTGCAGAGTGACAGGAGCTGCTCCTCTAGTGCAGTGACAGGCTCACAAACCCCACAAGCAGCAGCAGCAGCCAAGCCCAGCACGTGGGCAGGGGAATTACCAGGGTGTGGGCCGAGCGTCCTGGCTGAAGTCCACGGGACCGTGTTGCTTGAAGAGCAGGAAGATGAAGCGGTGGTAGCCCGTCCCCATGGCAGGGAAGGGGGGCAGGTAGTGGCACATCTCCTTGCCAGCCTTGATGTCACTGCCTGGGATGTTGGTCCTGAACACAAACACATCTACACTCATTTCCCTCCAGCAGATTCATCCAGGACTGCAAATCACTCTGCCATGCTGTGATGTGATTTCTGCCCCGTTTGATAAGGGAATAGATAGTAGAGACTGCTTTCACCACAGGAAAAATCCCACCCAGTGACTGGAATGCTGAACAGCAGCAACATCTGGAATTCCTGCATCCTTAGCAGGACCCAGAACACAGGGCTAAAGGAGCTGATGGCAGGAAAAGCCATGGATTCTGAGCTGTTGGAGGGGTTTGTGCCCAGCCCACAAGCACAGAGCACCAGGCTCTGATGTACTCACACCAGCCAGTGGAGGTACTCCGAGTCTGCATCCCTCAAATGTCCATCTGCCAACACACAACAGGAAAAAGGGACTTAGGGACACCCTGGTGCCAGCATCCACCCCGAAGTGAGAACGCCCAGACCTGCTTTGACCAGAGGGAGCAGCTCAAGACCTCCCAGAGTTCCTTCCCTAGCAGAAAAGGAACTCATTGCTATAGGACTGAGTTTAAAACAAGGAGCAAAGAACTCTGCAGATCTAGTTCCAAGATTCTTGAAATCTTCTTGGGCAGCTGCATCCTTCACTGTGCCTTGGTTTCTCAAGGTGAACAGTGTCAGCAAAGCTGCCTTCCAGGCAGACTGCCAAGGAAAGAGAGTTTGGAGGTAAACAAAGATGGCAGTCAGGAAATTGTCTCCTCTACATTGTGACACAGGTCCTGTTGTTTCACTGTTCCTTCTCTCAACTGCTATGGATTTGGGGAGGCTACAATCTTTCCTCCACATGTAACATGTCCCAGATATAACATCATAGAATCACAGCAGAGTTTGGGCTGGAAGGGACCTTAAAGCTCATCTCATCCCACCCCCTACCATGGGCAAGGACACCTTCCACTAGACCAGGTTACTCCAACCTGGCCTTGAACCCTTCCAGTGTTCATCATCTCTGTGCAGCCAAAGAATCAGGAATTAACCAAAAGCTGAGTGGAACAACCCAGTTTAAACATGTTCCTTTAAAGAACTCGCTGCTCACCTGGATTTGTGAGCAACAAGGTCCAGAGGGAGCCTTTGTCTGCCTCGTACGACACTGCAGGGGGACTGGCAGCCTGAAAGAGCAACATAAAGAGAATGTAAATCACTCACACAACAGCTTCCATGAACTGTGTCTGGGCAAGGCTCGGACACAACACAGACTGGGCACTGCCAGGCCACTGAGGAATCCACCAGGGCATAAATAATCATCAGCCTCCTGCCAGACAACCTACAATCTCTGTCCCTATCACATCCATAACCTATTTTCCTTCAGCACAGAGCCCTTGTAAAAGGCATCCCCTGGAATGAACCATGCCTGTTGGAAGCACCTGGCAGAAAGAGGCTTCCCAGGGGCTCCAAGTTGTTCCCAGCTCCCCTCTCTCACCTCTGATGGAGTCACCATGTTCCCATAGTAGACTGGCACGAGGTACTCGTCCTCCTGGCTGTACTGCACCCTCAGGGCGACCCAGGGGGTGAAGGTGGCCCCCTTGAACAGGTCCCGGAACACCCCGCAGTGCTTGGCCACGCGCTGCTTGTGGAAGGGGCCACTGGTCCTCTCCCACTCAGCCCTGACCTCGTCGAGGGGAATGAGCACTGCAAGGAGAGAGGGAGGATGCAGAGGCAGCAGCTGGGCACACAGGGCAGCTGGAGCAGGAAGGGAGCTGCTGGGGCACTGACCAGTCCGGAGCCGTGCCGCTCGCTCCATCTCAGCATTCTGGCGGTTCTCCCTCAGGATCCTCTTTCTTTCCTTGAGCTCCTTTGCCCGTGACAGCCTCTCACGTGGCAGGCCAATGTCTGTCTGGGGCTCTTCAGGGAGGGGTGAGAAGAGAGGAGGTGAAACACGTGAGCACCCAAACCACCCAAACACAAACCCCTGTGAAATGTCTGACAGGGTGAGACAGAGACTTCCAGAGATCAGGATCACAGAAAGGTTTGGGATCGGAGGGGTGTTGAAGACCATCCACCTCCCACCCTCCCATGGACAAGGACACCTCCTACTAGAAAAGACCTGAAAGGACAATCAGGACTCAATTCTGTCCCGTCTTCACCTCCTTCCCCAGCTCATGGCCCTCCCATCCCCAGCTGTGTTATCTGCTGCAGGCCTGAAGCTCTGCCTCCTTGTCTGCTCTCTGTGGCACCACCGGCGCTCCAAGGAATCCCTTCCTCACTCCGTGTCCTTTGGCAGGCGCTGCCCAGCCTCCCTCCCTCTGGAAAACCCCTTTTCCCTGGAGACATCTGCACTCTGCAGAGCTGAGGCTGTGCCAGAGCCCTCGGGGGTGCTCTGGGGGCTCGGGGGTACCTGCAGGGGGGTCGGTGTGTTTGTGGTAGGTGTTCCACCAGCGCGGCTCCCGGCCCGCGCGCTCCGCCTGCCGCAGGTAGCACGCGAAGCTGCGGTACCTCTGCAGCGCCTCCAGCCTCCCCACGTCCACGTCCTCGTTGGGCATGGGCCCCAGCGGGGCTGCCCTCTTCCAGAGCACGGCTGGGGGGTCAGAAAGAGAGGAGAGAGCCTGGGGTGGGCACAGCACAGACAGGGCCAGAGCCATCCCCACCTCCCATGGTTCATGGAGTCACAGGAAGGGACCAGAGTCATCCGATCCCACCGCCCTGCTCCAGCAGGCTCATCCCAGAGCACAGAGCAGAGGATTGTGTCCAGATGGCTCTGGAATATCCCCAGTGAGGGACACTCCACACCCTCTCTGGACAATCTGTTCCGGGCTCGGGCACTGCACAGGGAAGAAGTTCTGCCACACGTGCAGGTGGAATTTCCTGGGCATCACTCGGTGTCCGTGCCTCTGGTGCCATTGCTGGGCTCCTGGAGCGGAGCCTGGGCCCTGCTCTGCCCTCCCTGCACAGGGACACACCGGGAGCAGGGCCCCTCTCAGCCCCAGCACCCTCAGCCTTTCCCCAGGACAGAGATGCCCCAGTCCCCAGACCATCTTTGAGGCCCTCCACAGGACCCGCTCCAGGACCCGTGTCTCATCCCGAGGAGCCCGGAGCTGGACACTGCTCCAGGGGAGGCCTGCCCAGGGCTGAGCAGAGGGGCAGCATCACCCCCAGAGCTGCTGGAAATGCTCTCCTAACGCCCCCCGGGACACCAGTGCCCTTCTCGTGCCCTCGGGCACAGCGCTGCTCATGGACAGCTCCTTGTCCACCAGGAGCTCCAGCTGCTTCCCCACAGCGCTGCTTTTCCAGCCGGGCAGTCCCGGCCTGGGCTGTTCCTCGCAGCTGAAGGATGCTGCGCCTGCCTGTGCTGAACCTCGGGCAGTTCCTCTCTGCCCTTCTCCCCAGCCTGCCCAGGCTCCTCTGAAGGGCTCGCAGCACTCTGGGCTA